ACCTGAGCTGAGTCTCTAAGGCCTATACGAGTTAGCACAGAAAGAGCTGGACAAGCAGTCAAGGCTGGAAGAGCATCATCTAAAGTGTAGAGGAACTTTAGCTCGCTCTCAAGGGTGACGGTGGCAGGCTGGGTACGAGGGTTGGGGGCAGGCAGAAGTCTGAGTGGGGACCGGGATTCTGAGGTAACTGGGGAGCCAGAGGAAGCGCCACACTGGGGGTCAGATGTGTGCATTTTTTTTTTTTTTAGATGTGTGCATTTGAGAGACCTTTCTGGAGATGAAGAGGTTATGTTTCCCACTGCTTCCAGCACAAGCCAGAACCCCCTATGGCTAGGCTCTTGCACAGAGTCAGAATGGGGTGTCTCAGCCCCAGTACCCTATTCCTCAGCCTTTCTTGGGCCTTGTCAGCTCCATCCCCGCACAGGCAGCCATCACACTAAAGTACCAGCATCTGCTTTACATCTTTCTCCCACTGGGAAACAGCACCTGGGACCAGGTGCTGCGGACATAAAGCCTGGGGCTCCTCATTATTTGAAGAGGGGGATGGGAAGGAGGGACAGATGGTCACTCAACACTGGCTCTTAAATAATTGGAGAGCACCCCTCCACTGTAGTAGCACCCCAGATTACTATGTGGGGTTCTGCCTACCCAATGTGCTGGCCGGCACTGCCTCTGTGAAGCTTCTCCCCATCCTGGATCTCTGGGACTCCCCACTGAGACAGGGATTTCCTCTGGAGGGGGAGTAGGCTCCTCCCCAGTTCAGGGTTCCCCCATTCCCTGAGAGAACAGTGGGGTCACACCTGCCCAGCCTTCCCTGCTGCCAGCACACCTTCCAGAAGTTGCTGGATCCTATGACCCTGCCCCACCCTCTAATATGCTTTGAGCCCAGGCTGATGGCCACGGGGACAGCTCACCCCTATGCCCGGCTTGCTGGGGGAGCGGGGCAGGGTGACAGAGGGTTCCTGCATGCCAATTGTGCCTGGGTCTTTCCTCAGAAAAATGGGTGAGTGGGTGGGGGGAAATCCCAGCTCCTCTACTTATCGGTTCTGTGGGCAAGTCCTTACCCCTCCTCCTCTAGAGCCGCCATGGCCTGAGGACTTACTGTGAAGCAAGCTGTGCTTTCATTGGATCCGCAGGAGCCCCTGTAACCCTTTCTAATCGTGCCCGTGGTGAGCAAACTGAGAGGCTAAGAGGCTTGCCTAAGGTCACACAGCTCAGTAGGCCAAATGTGCCTGCTTGTTTTTCGAACTCCTGTTTCATAAGATTGTCAAAAGATGTGACATGTCTACTGAGGGGCTGGCACGGGACCACATTCCAGGCAGGAGCTCCTCACCTCTCCCACCCCCCAACACTAGGATATGGGGAGGTGGGGGCTTGGGGCAGGGTAGAAGGGGAGGGATGAGGCTGGAGAGAGGGCAGAGAGCAGCAACAGCAGGCCACGGGCCTCCCTGGAGGAAGCAAGGTCTACAGCTGGGCCTGAAAGTGTAGTGGAGTATTAATAAAGGATGGGGGGGTGGGGCGTGGAGGAGCACCCCCGTGTGTTTTGGGGAAAGGCGCCACACTTCTGATTTCTGCCTGTAAGGCAGCCGCCAGCACCCTGTCTTCCTCCTCTCAGGTGAGAAGGTGCTCCTCGGAGGAGGGAAAAGATCTGTAAATAGCAGGTGTGGCCTCATTAGAGAGCAGCCCTGGTATTAATAGCCGTGTAGGCATCCAGCGGAGCTTCTCCAGCTGATCTTTCACCTCGCCTTCCCGGGAGCCCGGCGAGAGTCAGCGTCTGGGGTGGGGTAGAGAAGTGTGTGCTCCATGGGGCCACTGCAGACCTGGTGTGGGTGAGGGGCTGTGGAACCTCCCCTCCAGGAAGCCCACATCAGGACAGACGGTTCACACTGTCCCTTCCAGTCTAATACCATTTCTCCCCTCCAAGACCACAGCCTCACACACAGGCGGGGGCTCCCAAGGCAGTCAGTCGCCTTGCACTGATGACGGCCCTTCATCCAACAAAGACTCCTTCGCCACCTGGATAACGGCTCTGCACAGGGCCTGTAGGCCAGAGCGGAAAAGCGCAAGGTCAGGGCCTTGGGGAGTGCACACTCAGCTGCCCCTCTCTGGAGTTTACAGTTTAAGGCAAATGCACACACTCATCTTGTTTGACACCAGCCTTGGTCTGTGAGGCGCGTCTCACCCCTTTCATTTGCAGACGAGGAAACTGAGGCTCAGGGAGTTACAAGCCAGCGCTCAAGTCCCCCACCCAATGTCCTGAATTTTGTAGTCCAAGGTGTTTGAGTGATCCCCAAAGAGGAAAGGACAAGATACCGATTACGGGGAGCTGTTGGCTTTGTGAAGTGTCCCTGGATGACATGATTTCGTTGGGGCCCGTCTGGCCTGTGCACCCTACTTGGGCTCAGAGACACTGGCAAGACCCCTGAGCACACCACCTGAGAGTCCTAGAGCTGGAGAGAACACTGCACTCCGCCCTGGCCCCCAGGGTTATGCTGGAGGAGGGGAGCAGAGAGCAGAGGCGGTGTTGGAGTGAGAGGCAGGAGGACAGCCTGGGGCGGCCCTGAGCTGCACTCTCCTGAAGCTCAGGTGTGACAGCAGGAAGCTCCCCGGCTAGGACCAGGAGCTCTGGGTTTCAGTCCCAGCCTACTGTGTGAACTTGGGAAAGCCTCACCCCACTGAGCATGCTCCCAGATCTCTCCAGGCCATTTCTAAGGACTCTCCAGCTCTAAACTAATTGACACCCTCTCCAAGCGACTCCCCACTTCCTCTTCCTATCTGCAGTGCCCAGTCCCTCTTTCTCAGCTCCAGCAGCTTCTTGACTCTCGGAACCTGTGACCTCAGACCTGGTCTGCCCTTTGACTCAGGCAGCCATGACCTTTGGGATCTGAGCCGCTGGCTTGTTGGGTTTTGCCCCATGAACTCGCTCTGGCCTTCAGCATGTTTGGCCGCTTTCCCCCTCTACCACTGCACAGTCCCTGGGCAGCCCAGGAATCGTGAGCATCTGCATTTCCTCAGAGAAGCTGTAGCAGGGGCTTCTCATCCAAAATTAAATGGCAGGCCTCCCTGGTGGCGCAAGGGGTTAAGCACCGCACTATGAAGCAATCCGCAGCCTCTGCAGCATGAGTTCGAGCCTGGCCAGCCAGGGGGCTGACCCACATGGTGCAGCAGACCTCTCCTGTCTCGCCTGCTGCTCCCCTCAGCAGTGTACTTCAGTCAGTCTGCCTGTTCTGGTCCCCACTCTGTCTCTGGTGGGTCCTCTCACCCCCCACATCTCTGGCCTGTACCCCAGCTCTTGTGTGCATAAATAAATAAATCTTTAAAAAAAAAAAAACAAAATTAAATGGCTCAGAGAGTCAGGGCAAATAGAGACCACCCTTCCATCCCCAGCCCCTTTCTGCAACACACCATTCGCCCTGGGAGTGCTCCGTGCCACCCCACCTCCCAGGCGACAGTGCTGGGCCTGTCTTATTGACGGAGATTTGCTCCAAAGGTTCCAAGTTACCCCAGAAGTCACCTAGCAAACCCTCAGCACCCTCATTCCTGACCCACTCCAGGGATGGGGGCTGCACCTCTTCCTCAGACAGGTGCACAAACAGGGCTGACTTTCCAGTGTCTGGAATTTGCCCTCGCCGGGTGCCCCGACGTGCAGGAGCACACAGCAAGTCTTCTCTGGCCCCTTCGCGCCGCTATTCCGGGCCGAGGAGGCCAGGGCGCCGCCGGGTGTTCCCACAAGCTCTCCACCCCACGCGGGAGGCGCGCTCCAGGCAGGGCCAGGAGCCCGCAGGCCGGCGAGGCCCGAGGCGGCCCGCGCGCCCCGACAGCGCCGAGGGGGGCGGGCGGCGGGCACGGCCCGGGGGCGGAGGGCGCGGCGGGCGGGCGCCCCGGCCGGCCCGGGGGAGCCGGGTCCCCGAGGCGCCCGGGCTCTGCCCCCAGCGCGGCCGCCCCGCCCCCGGCCCGCCCCCGGCCCGCCCCGCCCGGGACCGCAGACGGCGGCCGGCGGCGGCGCGAGCGGCGGCGCGGCTGGGCGGGGGCTCGGCCTCGGCCTCTGCGCGGGCGGCGGGGGGATGCGGCGGCGGCGCGGGGCGCGGCGGGGGGCCTGGCCCCGCAGGTAGGCGGCGGGCGGCGCGCGGGGGCGCGAACTTGGGCGAGTTCGCGGGCGGGCGGGGGGGCCCGGCCGAGCTCGCGCCCCGACTTCCCCGGACTTCGGGGCTCCGGGGCCGGCGGGCGGGGCGCCCCGGGCCGGGCCCTCGGGCCTCACGTGGGCGCCCGGCGGGGCGGGGGCGGGGGCCGGGGCGCCTGCGGCTTCCCCGCCGCGGCTTGACTCACCCCTGGCCGCGGCCCAGGCCGGCGGGATCGCCCCGGGCGGACGCGGCCCGAACCCGGGGCCCGGCCGCCCGCCGCGCGGAGCTCCCGGGCTGGGGCGCCCGGGGGGGTCGGGGGTGCCGCGGGCGCATGCGGGGCGCGCGCGGGGGCGGCCGCGGCTCTGCGTGCGTGGCGGCGGCCGGGGAGCCCGCCTGGCGGGGTGCACGTGCGCCCCAGCGCGGGGCAGGCGGGGGACCCCGGAAGCCCGCGGGCCGGGCTTGGCGGCGGCCCCGGCTCGTCGCTCGGGGCCCGGGCTCCGCAGTTCCGGCGGGGGGTGAAGGGGGGGCGAGGGTCCCGCGCCCCCTGCTCCCGCGCGGAGACCGCCCCGAGTCGGGGAGTAGCGCCCCGAGGCCCGCAGTCCCGGCCGCGGGGTCTGAGGCGCCCCCTGCGAGGCCTGGGCTGGGCAGCCGTCGCCCGCTTAGCAGGACGCACCCCGAGACCGCCGAGGGGCAGGGAGCGGGACGGGGCGCCCAGCTGTTTGCTGCTGGAGCGGGATGGCGCCCGCCGGAGGCTGCGCCCCGGACCCGCCCGCGCCCGGCCTCCCGCGCCAGCAGCAGACTCCGCGGCCCGGGGGCGCCGTGACCCCGCTCCCGGGGGGCCCAGGGCGCCGTGACCCCGCTCCCGGGGCCTGCCTCTCTCCCGGCCCCTGCTGGCGTCCTCGGTGTGTGCGTGACGGAGGGGCCCGAGGGAGGAGGCACCTCCATTCTGGCTACTGTTTTGGGGGGGTGCGGGCCTCACTTAGGGCTCTCCCTCCTGCTGGCAAGGGGCTCGGGTCACCCCCATCCCTTTCACAGCCCCCTGCTGGCTCCCTGGAGCCTGCCTCTCCCCTGAAGATTCCTGAGCATCCCAGGTGGCGTCCCCTCTGTGGGCGGGTGCGGGAGAAGGGGTGTCTCCAGGAGCCCTCCAGGGTACAGGGCACGCCATGGGCAGAGCCCCGAGAGGACTCCCGGGGCGGCGGATGTCGAGCAGGCCCCGGGGCGCTGGGGGAGGAGACGGGAGCCTACACTCCTCACTCCAGAGCTCCCTGAGGGCGGAGGGCGGCCCAGCACCCTCCAGGCCCGAGTCCTCCTGCAGAACTGCTGTGGAGCTGGGAGGGGGCTCTCCTGGGGTGCAGGTGCCCGGAGGGGGCACTGCTGGGGTGCTGTTGCCCTGAGCCCCTTCCTGTCTCACCGTCCCTCGCTCTAGCCTGGCTGGCTGGGGGTGGGCTGTGCCCCTCAGGCCCCACAGCCGTGCTGGGCTGACTGCGAGGGGCTGGCCTTGGCTTGCTGGTGAAGGAGGGAAACCTGGGGCACCTGGCCCCCGGCCTGATCACGCCAAGATTGGGCTGATTCATCCTTTCTAAGCCACCTGAGGGTTTTGGGCAGCTGCTCTGGGAGGCAGAGGCAGGTCAATGCTGCCCTAACAGACTTGCTTCAGATGACCCTGCAGGGGTCTTGGGTGCCTGCTGCCTTGAGGGGAGTCACACTGGACCCCCAACTCTCAGCCCTCGGTCAGTACCAAGTGCTAGTTGTCAGCCAGCTCTGTGGGACTCCTGGGCCCCTGCTCGGGCATCACTGGTGCTCTGCTGCCCCCTTGTGCTGTGGAGTGGCCGGCTGGCGATGTGGGGCGCTCTGACAGTTGGGGCTTTCCTGCTGGCCCACAGCACCACCTACTGGACAGTCCTGGCTCCCCTGCGGGGGGCGGGGCTAGGTGGGCCCCAAGAGGCTCGTCCAGAGCCAAGCTCCCAGCCACCCTCCTTGGGGACTGCGCTCTGGAGCCAAGCTCAGCTTCTCTTGCTCGGGCCTGGGGACCTGGTTTCCAGGCTTGGTTCACCATTTTTGACAAGACTGGCAGGTCAGAGAGTGGGACCTGGGGAGTGTCCCCGGAAATCTGAATGTGTGGACAGTGCCCGAGTCTGCCTCTCGGCGGCAGCGGGCAACCTGCGGTCACTCCAGAGCCTGGGGGCCGTAACGTGTAGCTGGAGGTGGGGATGGGTGGGTCTCCACATCTGTACGTCGGGGGCCGGAGGGTGTGAACTAGCCCAGCTAAGCGAGCCTGATTGCCCTGCAGTCTGGGGAAGGGGCGTCGGGAGTCCTGTGGAGGGCAGCAGAGCACAGGGAACGCTGGCGTGCGGGGGCAGGGGCACCAGTGCCCTTGCAGGCAAACTCATTACACGGAGGGCCCTGCAGCTTAAAAGTAAAGCTGGGACTCCGCATGGCATGGCTCACGTTCATTCACTCGTACAGCCTTCACTGAGCACCTACTAAGTGCCAAATTCTTGCGTGTCCGTGCGCCGACAGCATCAGCAGCCTTCTCCTGCTGGCCTGTCACCCCTTCTCACAACTCCTCCCTCTTTCTGTTTTTTCCCCAGGTCAGCAGTTGAGTAACTGGGCCCCAGAGGCCTTGAAGCCTTCATAGTGATGGCAGAGAAGCGGCCGCTGGGCACCCTGGGGCCTGTGATGTATGGCAAGCTGCCCCGTCTGGAGGCAGACTCCAGGCCAGGCCACAGCCTGCCCCCCTCTGCTGGAAACCAGGACCCCTGCAGCTACAAGGGAGCCTACTTCTCCTGTCCCCTGGGAGGCGCTCCTAAGGCAGGGTCTGAGCGATTGGCATCCTGGACCCCATACCCACCCTTGTACCCCACCAGCGTGGCAGGACCCCCACTTCGGGCTGACAACTTATTGACAAGCTGCCTGCTCTACCGCTCACCAGCAGAAAGCGCCGAGAAGGTGCAGGATTCCGGCCCTGTTGAGCTCCTACCCTTCAGTCCCCAGACTCACTCCTTCCCGGGCCCGCCACTGGCGGCCCCCAAACCTGTCTACCGCAACCCTCTGTGTTACGGGCTCTCGACCTGCCTGGGAGAAGGGGCAGCAAAGAGGCCACTGGATGTTGACTGGACACTGGTGACTGGACCCCTGATACCCCCTGCGGATCCACCTTGTTCTCTGACCTCAGCTCCTAGCAAAGGCCAGCCCTTGGATGGCACCTTTTTGCGTGGGGTGCCAGCGGGGGGGTCTGGCAAAGACTCTTCAGTGAGCTTCTCCCCCTGCCAGGCATTTCTGGAGAAGTATCGGGCCATCCACAGCACCAGCTTCTTGACATCCAAGTACACGGGCCCTTACTCTGGGGATCCCAAGCAGGCGCTGTCGGAAGTACCACCCAGTCCTTGGACCCAGCTGGCCCAACCCCTGGGGCCGGGCTGCCAGGATGCAGTGCCCACCCACTACCCGTTGCCCCATCCCACACAGGCCCTCCCTTGCCCCCCAGCCTGTCGCCACCCAGAGAAGCCGGGGAGCTACAGCTCAGTGCTCCCGATGCAGCCTCTGGGAGCCCACAAGGGGCCCGGGTACCCAGCTGGTGGACTGGGCAACCCTTACCTGAGGCAGCAGGCGGCCCAGACACCTTATATGTCCCCAGTGGGGCTGGACACTTATTCCTACCCGTCTGGTCCCCTCCCAGCACCCTCACCAGGCCTCAAGGTGGAGCCACCTCTTGCCCCACGCTGCCCACTGGATTTTGTCCCCCAGACGCTGAGCTTTCCTTACGCTCGGGACGATCTCTCTCTCTATGGAGCATCTCCAGGACTCAGAGGAACACCACCTTCCCAGAGCAGCGTGCAGACGGTGCCACAGCCCAGTGCCTTCCAGCAGCCATGCCAACCTCTGCCTGCCAGCCAGCCTTGCTCAGAACCTGTGAGATCTGCAGAGCTGCCAGTGCAAGAAGCTGAGGAGAAGCTGTGGCTGCCTGAATACAGGAAGGAGCGGCTGCAGCCTCAGCTCAGTGAGCACCCCGGGGCACCCATTGTCATCCGAGACAGTCCAATTCCTTGCACCCCTCCGGCACTCCCACCCTGTGCCCAGGAGCGCCAGCCTCTCCCACATAATGAGGGTGCGCTGCCCCCCAGCTCTCCTCCGATGCCTATCATTGACAACGTCTTCAGCCTGGCCCCCTACCGTGACTACCTGGATGTGCAGGCGCCTGCGGCCACAGCTGAATCTGACCAGGCCCCTGCCAAGAGCCATGACAAGGATTATGGGGGGACCCTGCCTGCTCCGGAGCCCCCGTCGAGGACACACTGCTCACTTAGAGAGGAGGTAGCACTGGACTTGAGCGTCAAGAAGCCTGTGGCAGAGACGCCTCCTCTCAAGGCCCCCAGTCCTGCAGTGCCTGCCAAGCCCACCGCAGCCGTGGATGTGCCGGGCATGGACAGCACCATCCCAGACATGCCAGGCATGGGAAGCACAGTCTCGGACCTGCCGGGCCTGAAGACGATGGTCACAGAAGCGCCGGGGCTCCCCGGGGTGCCAGTGACCACAGAGGCCACCCCAAGGACGAACTTCCACAGCTCCGTGGCCTTCATGTTCCGGAAGTTTAAGATCCTCCGGCCAGCACCCTTGCCTGCGACTGTGGTCCCATCTGTGCCCGCCTCCGCCCCTGCCCCGCCTGTCCCTGCCCCGCCTGTCCCCACCCCCACGTCGGCACCGGTTGGACTACAGGTTCTCACGCAGCCTTTGCCTGTGACTTGCTTCAACCTGGCACTGCCCAGCCCTCCGGCTGTAGCTGTGGCCTCCCCGACCCTGGCCCCCACCGCGGCCCCGGCTCTGGCTCCAGTTGCAGCCCCCGCGAGGGCTCCTACCCCTGCCGTGACGGACTCCCCCGAGCAGCGCTTCACGGGACTGCACGCGTCCCTGTGCGACGCCATCTCGGGCTCGGTGGCCCACTCCCCGCCCGAGAAGCTGCGGGAGTGGCTGGAGATGGCTGGACCTTGGGGGCAGGCGGCGTGGCAGGACTGCCAGGGCGTGCAGGGGCTGCTGGGCAAGCTGCTGTCCCAGCTGCAGAGCTTCGTGTGCACGCAGCAGTGTCCCTTCCCCCACGTGGTGCGGGCCGGCGCCATCTTCGTGCCCATCCACCTGGTGAAGGAGCGACTCTTCCCGCGGCTGCCCCCCGGGTCGGTGGACCACGTGCTGCAGGAGCATCGCGTGGAACTGCGGCCCACCACGCTGTCGGAGGAGCGGGCGCTGCGGGAGCGGGCCCTGCACGGCTGCACCTCCCGCATGCTGAAGCTGCTGGCGCTGCGCCAGCTGCCCGACATCTACCCTGACCTGCTGGGCCTGCAGTGGCGGGACTGTGTGCGCCGCCAGCTGGGTGAGCATGGGGCAGCCCCAGTAGCCACCGGAGCTGTGTGAGCGAGTGACAGGTGTGTGGGCCGAGTGAGTGGTCACAGGCGGGGACGGAGGGGTCTCTGGGCCTCTGGAAAGGGCAAGGAGGCCCTGGTAGGAGACTGGTCTCCCAGTGCGGGCTCCCCGGGGTCCCCTGCCCCCCACATCCCTCTTCCCCTTCCGGCTTCAAAAAGAGACTGCTGCACCTCTGGAAGCCTCGGATCGTGCTAACTGTTCAGCCCCCGTGGAGACCCTGTCCTGGTCCCGAACCTTCCTGATTCCCTTCTCTGCTGGCTCTGCCTTCCCACCTTGGGAGCCGGGCTCTGCCCAGGCCGGGTGTCCTGTCAGAAGTCATTTCTCTCTGTGTGTCTGTCCTGCCAGCCTCCCCTCTTCTGGGCCCAAACCCCAAATAACTCACTGCACGTTGAACCTGAACCTTAACTCCTCCCAAATCATGCTGGAGTTCCCCCCCAGCTCACCTCCACCCCCGGTCTTGCCCATCTCAGTGGATAGCACCCCTGCTACCCCAGCTCCTGCCGGGACCCTGGCAGGGGGCTGCCTCCCCTACATGGTTGCCTTCTCAATGTGCGGTTTTCACATCCCCTTCACGGTACTTCCCTTCACAGAAGTGTACCCCGAGCACTGTTTTGTGGTTTGTTTTTCCTGCACTAAATGAGGTCTTGTGTATATTGTTCTCCCATGTGCTCCTTTTGTGGCCCCGAGCAGCATCTGCGCTGGCCCGGCGCGGCGGTCTCGGGACTGCTGCGGCGTCACGTGGTGTGTCCGTCTCACCTCTGCGCCCGGGCTGCGGTGGCGTCGGTGGCCGCCTCTCCTGTGTCGCGACAGCTGGCCTTGAGGCCCAAGGCCCCCTCTGTGGTTATTTCCCACATGTCCCACTCATGTCCCTGTCATGGTCGTGTCCCTGTAGGAACTGCCCTTTGTCCCTCCTGGCAGCCCTGCCCCGGGCTCCTCCCTAGCCCAGGCTCCAGGCGGAGAAGGGTGATGCGGGCAGATGGGGAGCTTGGGATCTGCGTGGCCTGCTTGCTGACCCCTGGTGGGGCATGTGCCTTCATGGGCTGCAGAATGCACCACGATGCAACTCCAGGACTCTGTTCCTGAGGGAGGAAGGGTGTGAGTAGGCAGCATGCACCTCACACACCCCCAGCCCGGCCCTTCCCCTGAATAGCTGGGCCCAGCGAGATGGGTGTGAGTATGACCCTGGCACTGCGTCGTCAGTCTGCAAGTCTGGGCCTGTTAAGCAAGTGATGGGGGTGCAGCCTCTTGCCGCTGGCAGTTTTGGCGCCCCATCCCTGCTCCCTCTCCGAGTTGTGTGCGCTCTTCCATCTTTGGGGGCCACCCTTCTTGTGGATATCCTTCAGTAGCTCCCCCAGCAGCCTCCTTTCCACGGTGTGCTCTGTGGTTGAGACTGCCCTTCGTCCCTTCTGCTGCTTCCTCCCTTGGGGCCTTGCGTTTAGGGCAGCCCTGCCTGGGCTCTGCTCTTGCTCCCGCCCTGGGGGTGATGTGGCAGGGAGGTGACAGCGTCCTCTGAGGAGCAGGCCCTCTCTAGGCCTCCGTTCCCCCTCATTACAGTGGGCCTTTGTACCAGGCCAGTGGTTCCTGGCCCATTGGGCATCTCTCTTGTCCTTGAGCCCCAACAGCCACTGGGCAGTGCTGTCACCCGATCCCCGGCATCACCTGGGGACAACACGCGCTTTTGGCCATGTGGTCTGGCCAGTGGGCACGTGGGGCACTATTGCTGACCCTGCCGGAGCCATCCTGGCTGTGGGCAGAGTGGAACTCCAGGTCTGGATGGCTTTGGGGCCAGGGGATGGGCCTTGAAGGTGTTGGGGTCTGCAGCCTGAATGTGTGTTCATTTTCCAGGTGACTTTGACAGTGAGGCTGGATCTGTGCCCCCCTCAGAACCCACTATGACCAGAGAAGAGCCAGCTAGCCTAGCCCTGGCTTGGAAGTCACTCGCCTCCAAGGCCAAGAAGCCCGGGAAGAAGCTACCAGTCCCTGGCTCGGAGAAAGCAGAGGTGGTTGCAGGGCGAGGGTCCTGCGATGCCTCGCCTCCCCCTACTGCCAGGTCCAGCCCACCTGGCCCCACCCTGAAGGCCCGCTTCCGCAGCCTGCTCGAGACCGCCTGGCTCAATGGCCTAGCACTACCCACGTGGGGCCACAAGGCGTCAGGAGCAGACCGGCCTGCACCCCGCCCACCGCTGCTGGGGGGCCAGAACCATCACTAGTTGCTGGTGCTGCTTAGGCAGCTACTGTGGGAGTCACTCTTTGCACCCCTCCCTTCTGCCTGCCCAGCTGCCCAGAGCCGTCAGAGGATGTGCCTTTGGAGTTTCCCCCTCTCTCGCCTTGTCCCCCTGCCCAGGCTGAGCTGAGCGCCCTTGAAGTTTGAGTTCGATGGGCCTTCATTAGAAGGGTCCGTTCCTGTCTCTTGGAGGACAGCATGGGCTTCGGAGCCCTAGAGAGTCAGCTTGAATCCTGGGTGCTGTGCTCCTTGTGTAACTGGGCAAGTCAGTTCCTCGCGAGCGCTGTCTCCATTTGTAAAATAGGACAACACAGCCTACCTCACAGGGTTGTCGTGGGGGTGACACCTGACACGCCCATTATGGTTTGCATCCTCCCGGGGTGGTCTGGGTCTTACCCGGGGCCTAGAGTTGGGGCTGAGGCCATCACAACCTTGTCTTAGGTACGTTACATGACCCACACTTTGTGGAGTCGCCCCTGGGAAAACCTGGGGCTTATTACCCAAGGATTTGAAATTGGACCCTAACACCCAGCCTGGAGCTCCGTGAGGGAGGCCTGGCCCTCCCTGCTGCAGGGGGTGCATGGGATAGAGTCTGGGGCTGATGTCCTTGGTTGGGGCTTGATGCTCTCACCCCTGGGAGACCCCACACACATCCTGAATTGATAGTGGCTTCACCGCGTTGCCTCCCCGCCTAGTGTACTCCAAGGAAGTTGTGTGCAGGCTGGAAACCAAGCAGCTGCAGGAACTCAGGGACTAGACGGGATGGGCCAAGTAACAGTTGTGTTCTGGGAGGTCCTGAAAGATATGGACTGGGGGCCCATGCTGGAGCCCCCTCAGCCTGGCCTACCACCAGGCACCTCCTGGCAGAGTGCTAAATTGAACCAGAGGCCGGCAAGCTGGGCACTTGTAAGATGCCTGTGAGTCCTGGGAGCAGGCCATCAAACATTAAAGCATTTGGGGTTTTGTGACCTTGGGACTGGCTGTGTTTGGGGGGGGGTGAGGGGTGACAAAGATGCCATCACAAGTGTTAATCCTTTGACCCCAGGCACCCCAGCGCCGAGGCAGGAGAGATAGCCTCTCCCGAGACCCTGAGGGTCTGGCAGTTTGTGGACTGTTGCCCACTGCCCAGTGAGAAGTGCTGGTCACCACCTCTCAGCTCCTGCTCCTCAGGCACCAAGGATGTGTCTGCCAGCATCTAGAACAGAACTGACGCCACCCCACAAACGCCTTACCTAGTGTGAGGAGGCCACCAGGCACCCCTCCTGTGCTGGGCTCCTGCCCTGTATGTTGGTTTGCAGGGCTGCTGAGGTGGCTTCCTGGACATGTTTCCCACTGCGTAGGGGCCAGGGCTGGGTGCTCAGCAGGCCCAGATGCACTGCCCTCTGTGCCTCCCGATAGCTGGAGCCTAGCCTGGACTAGCCAGGATTTGTAGTGGCAGCTGCTGACTGGGCCGTGAAGGGGCACAGGCAGCTGGAGCTCCCTGGTCACGGTGAGAACCCTGGGGCACCGACAACCCAGGGAAGGGTGCTGTGGGCACAGCCAGGGCGTCATCTGGCCTGGGGATACTGTTTGGGTCCCTGAAAAGCTTCTGCCTGTGGTGGCCTACAAGACAATAGAAAAGAACAAGCGTGAAGCAAACAGCATGCTGGAGGCCTACAGATGTATGTGGAAAACAGACATGCCCGGGTGTGACCTGAGTGCAGCCAGTGGGGGCAGGAAGTCCCCTCCCCCATAGCTCTTGGACTCAGCCCTGCATCCAGAGGCGCAAGTGCTGAGGTCCAAGTCTTCAGACTCCAGACAGCTGTGCAGGGAGCAGGAGAGGTGGGTGCCACTGGGTGAGCCCTTCTGAACCCCTTGGCCTCCTGTGCCCATCCACCTCACTTCCAGGACCTTGCTAGTTTGGGCTGTTCTTGTATTTCCTTTCCTTTTTCCCTCTCCCTTCCTTGCATACCTGCTGTGTCCCTGCGACCTGCCAGGCAGAAATCTTGCTTGTGGCTCTAGAGCAGGCCTGAGGCATGCAGCTGCTCTGTCTGCTGGCAGCTCTCTGGGATCCTAATGGTACTAGAGTTGGGCCTGATGGGGGAAGTGACTGGTCCCCACAGGACAACCACACTGGAGCCGCAGTCTGAGGACTGCCCTCAACCCCTCAAAGCTCCAGGGAGCGGAGGCCTAGCCCTGCCCGGAGGGTCCCACTAAGAAGACGGTAGAACTGTCTTCCCGGAAGTGCAGCCTGAGGGGGTGGGGGCAGGGACAGCCCTGACCCCGGCCCCTGCTCTGAGTAGGAGTGCTCCCCACCCACGAGGGCGCTGACAAAGCCTCTTCCACTGTTTAGTAAGAGCGACCGAGAGCTGAGACTGAGGAAGGTGGCCTGGAATGGGGAGAGGCCCAGCATGCTGGGCTCCCCTCTCCCCAAAACAGGAGATGGCTCTTCCGGTCCCGCTGGCCCCCTGTCACTGTCCTGAGCTCCATGGCGATGGTGTCCGGCAGAGCCCAGGAATCCGATTTAATCAAGCTCCCAAGGTGATGGAGTAGAGAGTTCAGGAATCACATTTCAATAACAGTGATCACACCCTTGGGGTTATAGATGAGGAAACAGGCTCAGGAACTTAGGGTGATCACATCAAGGCAGACTGGGCAAGACGCACAGCCAGTCTTGAGGGCTCTGGGCCAATCAGGAGGCTCTGCCCCCGCCCTGCTCGCCCTTGCAAGACCTTTGTCTCTTTCCCAGTGTTCAGGTAAGGCTCCAGAGGGACTGGGTCTTCGGCTTGGGGCCCCGTAGTACAGCAACGAGGGGCTCTTGTCAGCCTCTTGGTTGGCTGAGCCCTCAGCCCTTCCTCCTGAAGTATCAGTGAGTAGGCCGCAGACGCTGGAGACCCCTGGGTTCCTTCAACACTTGGCCCTGCTTCTTGAGTTCTTGGCTCCTCCCTGTCAAAGGAGAACCAGGGTAGCCCTGTCCAACCTTCAGTGCCGCCCCAAGCTCACCACCTGCTGGTTCTGAAACACCAGGACCCCAGCTTCCAGAGACCAGGTCTCCCCAAATCCTGCCCACCGCCTTGGCACCTCCAAGTCTGAATGAGGCAAGAGGCAAGGGTCCCCACTACTAAAGGACTGCCTGGTGCTTCACCAACCCAGTAGACATCCCAGGCCCCAATTTCTGGTAGCCCAGACCCCTTCCGGTGGTTGCCAGCTTGGCGCTTTCTTCCGGGCCTGTGCTCCTGTGCCATCAGGAGTTAGCTTAGACCCGGCTTAGACCCCTCTCCTGGTCTCATGGTACTTCTGCCCCCAAGCCCCGGCACCCTGGCCTCCAGCATTCCTCAGGCTGGCTCAGCTGATGCCACACGCTATGCTCTGGACTTGCTTTCATGCAGCCCCGCTGGTAGCCCCACCCCCGCCCCACCTCCCTGATGTAGCCCCTAAATCCCCACCTGCCCTCCCCCAGATGGTCTCTCCCAGGCACGCCTCTGGACCCTGGTGGCTAGATCTCAGGGGTGCACAGCCAAGTCCTTCCCCCTCACCTACTCGGGGCACTTTGTCTTCCAAGACCCCTGAAAGCTGGGGGACCCACACTAAGGCTTTAGACCAGCCCAGACCCACAGTCTCGTCTGATGACTGGCCCTTCCTCAGCGCGCAAACCCGAGCCCCTGGGCAGAGGTGTGGGGAGCCCCAGGAAGTTCCTCTCAAGCAGAGAGGCTAATTGGCCCAGGCCCTTGCTGTCCAGACTGAGTTGGGCTACTGGAGGGTCTCCAAGGCCACCTGGGCACAGGCTGTCGTGAGGAACCTGTGCTCGCACCATCTGCCATGCCCTTGTCAGGCACCGTCACCCTGGAGACCAGCTCTCCTCCCACCCCACTGCTGGGATCCCCAGCATGGCTCACCCATGTGTGCCTCACCTCACCTGTGTGCCACTCCCAAAGAATCCAGGCTCGCTCAGCTTCCAGAGGCTCAGCCCGGGGTCATACTCCCAGCCCCAGGTCATACGTGAGGGAGGATGAGGAGACCGGGAGCTCCCAAGATACAGGCTGGCGGGGAGAAGCCCGGCTTGAGGGAGGTGGAAGAGGGCCTGAGGCAGAATGCCTGGAGCTTCCTCTCTGCTTTTCTTCCGTTCTCCTTTGCTATCAAAGAAAGCAGTTTGTGCTCGTGTCCCGCCCTGTCCCGCGAGCGTGCAGCACTGCTCAGTGTTGACTGTGGCCGCCGACCTCCGTGAGCCTGCTGGCTCCGCTTTGCCCTGTGATCCATGGAGAAGCAGTTGTCCCGCCTTCCTCAACAAGGACCAACTGAAGCAGAGAAGTGGGCAGTTCACCCACCGCCCTGCTCCTGGCCTGGTGGTCCTGCCAAGGGGATGCTAAGCGTGGAGGCTTCCCTTTCCCCAGAGTCTTCTCTCCCCAGTTGAGGCGCACACTGTCCTTGCCCAGCTTCCTAAAATCCATGGCGTCTGCTCCTAGTAAGTCTTCTCAGCTCCACGGAATTGGTGGGGCTGCCAGGCCTAGAGTTGGGGCCCTGCCCAGCCTTGTCCCTGCTGCCTCTCATGCCCCTGCAGGTGAGGGAGGGGCCTCCATTGCTAAGTCTTCTCCGCACCAGCTCCCGGCTGCCAGCAGTGTTCTGGGGCGGGGCCAGGTGGAGGTCCGATGGCAGATTCTGCCCACCAGCTCTGACCTCCTGTACCCCGTGGCGGCCAACGCAAGCCAGCCTCTCCTGGCTTGTGGGCCTGGCCTCGCTCAGCCTGGTGGTTAGTGGGAGGAGGCCTCAGATTTCTAGAACATGTCCAGCACCACACCTTTGCTATCCTGGCTTCTCTGGAAGACCCTGTGGGAGCCCCTTTAGCTGCTTCCCTAGCCCCAAGAATCTTTCAGTAGGTTTGCCCCTTATTTTAGAGCTTCTGGTGGGGTTTCATGTAAGGGTTGAACCTATAGGGTTGGGGTATAGGAGATGGCATCTGACTAGGACATAGAAAGCTGTAATTCCCCCCAGAACAAGGCCCTCATCTGCCCAGCTTCATCTTCAAGGACAGCCCAGAGCCCTGCTTCTTTGGGAATTATGGAGGCCCGTGCTGATCTAAATTGATTTCTAAGGCAGTATCGACAGGTTCATGGGACAGAGGAGGGAAGACTGAGGCTTAGCATGGGGTGACCCAGGTCAGAGCCATAAAACCATGACCAAGCAGAGCCTAGTCTTGGCCCAGGGTGCCCTGAGGACCCTGTTCAAACTTCTTCCCAGCGCACTTGTGTTTCCGGCCAGTCCTGGTGATAGTCGCCAGGAACTGCTGGTGCTGGCGGCACCGACCAACTAGCCTGTGGTCTTCATCTCCCCACCGGCTGCCTCATGACATGTCTGGTTTGGGCCTGGTAGACCTTTGTCTGCTTCTGACCCCTTCTGTGACTCCAGGCTCTCAGCTGAACCACTCTGTCTTGTCAATTTCCTTGACTATCCCCAACAGGAAGTTTGCAGAGCCACTCAGGGACTTATCTCCTGTCTACTCTGCCCTCGCCATGGCCTCGGTGGGCTGATGGCCAGGCTTGAGGTGGCCAGGTGTAGGAAAACCAAAGTGATTCCATTGTTTGTTGACACCCTTTTGGCCTCGTGACTGATCACTGTGCTTCCCCAGGAAGATGGCCACATTCCCCATTGTCTTCTACCTCTACTCTAACCTGAATCTTGGCCCATATACTAACTTAATAGAACAAAGAGGCACATGACATGGCCCCTGGACACTGGCGTCCATAGTTCCACACAAGCTTTTACTCTTTTAGTTGAACAGCAGGCCTCTGTCCTGTTGGTGGGAGCTGTGGATTACACCTTCTCCCAAAACCTGTCCACTGGCTCTGGTATCTGAGTGTGAATTCCCTCCCCCTTCTTTTAATCAAAAACTAAAGGTTTTTACAGTAAATTCATATATACTCATCACCTAGATCCTATTAACAGTTTACCAGATTTGTTTTACCAGATAACTTTCCATCTGTAAGTCTTCCCATCTTATTTCTCAATCATACTATAAACACCAATACCCTTCTCACTTCAGCCTGTGTAATAGCAACTAGCTGGTCTTTACTAAAAGTTTCCCAGTATTTTTCTTTTGAAATAAAATTTATTTATTTTTTAAAGATTTATTTATTTGTGCATACGAGAACTTGGGCACAGGCCAGAGGTGTGGGGGGTGAGAGGATTCACCAGAGACAGAGTGGGGAGCAGAACAGGCAGACTGACTGAAGTACACTGCTGAGGGGAGCAGCGGGGAGAGAGGAGAGGTCTGCTGCGCCATGTGGGTAACTCACTGGTGGGGGATTGAACTTGTGATACGGAGGCTGCGGATTGCTTGATAGGTTGCATTTTAACCCCTTGCACCACCAAGGAGGCCCTCACTGTGCTTTTAATGTATATTTCCCTTGTTAGAAGTGATGATGACTTCTTTTTCAGATACCTGTTGGTCTTCTATATCTCCTCTTTGTAAAATTGTCGTCACATCTGCTGTGCATTTTTTAATTGGATTGTTTGTATTTTTTTTTTGTTAAGTTGAACGATTTCTTTGTATCACTTGGATATTGCAGGGAAACCAAAGTGATGGCATCTTGTATTGGCGTCATCGTAGACCCATGTAGTCCTTGCCCTGCCCTGGAAAGCTAGCCAATTTCCCCATCGTTTCTCTCCCTCGCAGTAACTTGAACTAGTGAGCCATACACAACTCTATTAATCTTAGTAGAACAAAACTGCGCTAGAAATCCCCCCAGACATCCAGTAATTTTAGTCTTACACAAGAAAGATGACAGGTGTTACGGCATATATACGGGGTATAAGAAGACCCCTGGGGGGAGGGGGGCATGACTCCTGCCTCGAACCAAAGTCCTGTCCACTGGCTCCAATACTGAGGACCCCTGTCAGTAAGTGGCCCTTAATAAGTTTTAAGTGTGATTAACGTGGGCCTTCTTCATTCTTTAGACTCAAATGACCTTCTCAGTTTGGTGAAACTTATTCATTCCCTCCCTTGCACAGACGTTCCCCCTTTGTTGGTGGTATGATGTCTGAATATCACCCATTCAGTAGAAGGATGTCTCCTTAATCTGCTAATATTTTCTTCCCCTGTGTAAGTTTTTTAGTTTGAGGCAGTTGTTGCTTTTTGCTTTTATTTCCCTTGCCATAGGCGTCAAGACCCCAAAGATAGATCTAACATGGATGTCATGAAACAAATCGCTTATGCTTTTTATTGTGTATTTTATAGTTTTGGGTCTTCTAGCTAAGTCTTCTATCCATTTTGAATTTATTTATGTGTGTGGAGTTAGGGATTAATCCAACTTATTCTCCTACCTGTGCCCACCCAGTTGTCCCATTACCATGCGTTAAAGAGACTCTCCTTTCCATTTTATAGTTGTGACTCTTTTGTCATAAATTAGATAATGATATATGTGTGGATTTTGGGGGGACTTTTTTTGTAGAAGAACCGGGGTATAGGCCAGAGGTACAGGGTGTGAGAGGATTCACCAGAGACAGAGTGGGGAGTAGAACAGGCAGATCTACTGAAACACACTGCTGAGGAGAGCAGCAGGCGAGTCGAGAGGTCTGCCTCGCCGTGTGGGTAGCTCTCTGGCTGGCCGGGGGATTGAACTCATGTTGCACAGGCTGCAGATTACTTCATAGTGTGGTGCTTAACCCCTTGTGCGCCACCAGGGAGGCCCTACTTAGCATTTCTTTTTTTTTTTTAAAGACTTTTTTTTTTAAGATTTATTTTTATTTATTTATACAAGCACCGGGTACAGTCAGAAGCGCGGGAGGGTGAGAGAATTCACCAGAGCCAGAGCGGGGAGCAGAGCAGGCAGAAGGACCGAAGTACACTGCTGAGGGGAGCAGCGGGCGGCAGGAGAGGTCTGTGTGCCATGTGGGACCCTCCTCTGGAGGCCGGGTAGCAGCCGGGGATCAAACCGGCGCTGCAGAGGCTGCAGGCAGCTTCACAACCCAGCGCTCAACCGCTGCGCCACCGGGGAGGCCCAGCATTTCTATGCTAGCAAAAATGTAACTTTCCAACCTTTCCTTACAAAAAAAAAAAAAAAAAAAAGGCAAGTAGGAAGTGACAGCTTATGCTCCCAATATTAAAAAAATGTATTTAAACACTTGATCCAGAGGATTATCTTTTCTGATTTTTGGTAATACAAGTGATCATAAGTCACAAATTCAATATATTCCTATATTTTCCCTTCAGTGGGGAGAGAACTCGTGCTTGCTGTTAAAGGAATGAATGCATATTCCTGGGCTATTGAAAAATACCTGGGAATTGATCCATGTGAAAAGTAGCCCAAAGGAGTCTGCACCTTCAGAATCTAAGATCGTGTTTTTGGCTTATTCCCAAAGATAAGGTGTCCCTGTATTTGGAAGGAAAGGGTTAGTGGAGTGGTTTTATAAATAAGATGACCTGTTATAGCTGTAACGGAAGTGTCCAGGCAGGAGACGTCAACCCAGTCAGTGCTTTTTACTTACTTGCTCTTTACCTCCAGCATCTTCCCAGCATCCTGCTCTTGATGCTTTCTACAAATAATAATAATAATAAAAAGTCTTTGCAACTGTTTGGATAAAACTAGATGGAATAAAAAGTCAAAAGTGATCAATAAAACAGAAAGTGTTGAAGTAGAGGGGACAAGTGCCCTTGTCCAAAAAGGACAAGTATAGACTATACAGTTCAGAAAATCCAGAATTATCACAGACATTTCAGTGACTTGGGGAGACAGGCACAAGCTCAGCACCTAAAGCTAACAAATGCCTCCATTGCTTTATTCATGTTCCCTCCCTCCATGTTCATAGGGAAGGGGGGAAAGTAATTTTAAAAACATCAAAACTACAAAAAATGCACACTGACCTTAGAAAATAAGATTTTTGAATTTCATCATGATACCTTTTCTCCTATAAAATTTACCTTTTTGCTTTGAAAGCTTTCTTCCCGATGGATTTTCCCTTGCCAGGCAACTTCACTGCCTGGCTCACATTGGAGGCAGCCTTCCTGCAAGGGCCTCGCAGGTGTCTTGACAACTGAGGGGGAGGGTCTGGCTTTCTTGGCGGGAGTTTTGGCCTTAGGAGGTGCTTTCTGTGCAGGGCCTAGTGTTCCTCCCTGGGCAGCTGGGGCTTCACGTGTAGGCTCAGACCCTCCTCTCTGCTTCACAAGGCAACCTTCCCTGCTGACTTGACTGGAGTTTTTTCTGTAAACTTCCTTTCAGGTGGTGGCTCGTCATCCTCAGAGTCGTCTCTTTTTTTGCATAGAACTGGGGTGTAGGCTAGAGGTACAGGGAGGGGGAGGGATGAGAAGATTCAGCAGAGATAGAGCGGGGGACAGAACAGGCAGATTGACCACAGTACACTGCCGAGGGGAGCAGCGGGCGAGGCAGGAGAGGTCTGCTGTGCCATGTGGGTAGCTCCCTGGCCAGGGATCGAACTCATGCTGCAGTGGCTGCGGACAGCTTCATAGTGCTGAGACTTAACCCCTTGCACCACCAGGGAGGCCCCCTCTTCTCCATATCTTTGGACTGATCTTTCTCATCCTCTTTAGTTTCCACAGACTTCTCTTCATTGTCAGGTGGAGTCCCTTGGGCTGCTCTGTCTCACTTGATGTAGCATGTGAGGTTTCCTTCATTCTCTTGTTCTTCTACAATGGAGACAGATTCTTCTGAACTTATACCTGGTTCTGGCTTTTCTTCCTCCCCTTCAGCAAGCTTGTTTGGGAGAGGAGATTCCCTGAGTTGAATTCACAGCTTGAAGAATCGGCATGGTACTATCATCTTCTTTCTCTGCACACCCCCACCCTGGTGCCTCAGTCCTGCAGTTCCTCTCTGCTCTGTCCCTGATGCTTAGCTGTGCCTGGTAGCTTTTGAAACTGCAGCTCTCCAGGCTCAGCTTGTCACCCTGACACCCTAATAACTTTTTGGTAGGTCTTTTGGGTTTTCTATACATAGTATCGTATCATCTGCAAATAACAATAGTTTCACTTATTTTCCAATCTGGTGTCCTTTTATTCCTTATTATTATCTGATGGCTCACGTTAAACCCCCAATATTGAATTAAACAGAATTGGTGACAGTCGATATCTTTGCCTTGTCCCCAATCTTAAAGGGAAAGTTCTCAGTTTTTCTTTGCTAAGTGTTAATATTGGCTGTTAGGTTTATGACATATGGCCTTCGTGATGTTGAGGTAGATTCCTTGTATCCCCATTTTGTTAGGAATTTTTAAAATAAATAGATTTTGAATCTTATCAAATGCCTTCTCTACGCCTATTGATATCACCATGTGGCTTTTCTGTTTCTTCTGTTGATGTAATGATTACATTAATTGATTTGCATATATTGGATCAAACTTCCATTCTGGAATAAATCCCACTTGATCGTGATGTACAATCCTTGTAATGTATTGTTGAACTCAATTTCTAGTATTTTGTTGAGAATTTTTGCATCTTATTCATCAGAGATGTTGATCTGTAGTTTTCTTTATGAGATGCTTGTCTGGTGGGCATCATTGGATGTGTTAGGATGTATTCCCTTTTCAATTTTTTGGAATAGTTTGAATAAAACAAGCAAGGTTCTTCTTTAAATGCTTAATAAAATTCACTCCTTTGCATTGTATCTGTATATCCAGTTTGACTTTATTTTTCAAGATAAAGTTGGTCCTGGGTTCTTGTTTTGGGGGAGGTGTCTTATTTCTGTTTTAAATTTCATATTTGTGATTGGTTTTCTCAAGTTTTCTGTTTCTTTCTGGTTCAGTAAGCTGTGTTGTTCTAAAAATGTATCCATTTCTCTAAGATTATCAAATTTGTTGGCATAGTTACTTGTTCATAATAATCTCTTATTATCCCCTGTATTTCTATGATGTTATCATTTATTTTTCCTCTTTCCTTTGTAATTCAATTAGCAATAATCACACCTCGGATAAACCTCATAGGCTACGATACTGCCACTGCGCAAAGCTTTTCCTTTATAATTCTATTAAAGTTTTCTTTCTTCTTTTCTTTGTGAACCTAGCTACAGATTCATCTATTCATCTCCTCAAAGAACCAACCTGTGGTTTCATTGATTTTTAGTGTAGTCTGTTTCTACTCTCATTTTTATTATTTCCTTCCTTCTACTAATTTTTGGTTTCACTTCTTCTTTTCAAGTTGTTTTGAGTGTGATGCTTAATTGCTTATTGGTGATCTGTCTTGCACCTATCTCTCTTAATACTGTTTGTGCTGTGTCCCATAAGTTCTGATAGGAACCGTCTTTATTTACATGTCATTTGGTTGTAAACATGTGGAGGATGTGAGCACAGAGTGTTTAGTCTTCTGCCATCCTACGGAATTCTATATGTTGCCCTTAGTAAGCTTTAAGTGTAATTAATGGATGTGCCTGCTTCATTCTACTCAAATCACCTCCTCAGTTTTGAGGAGCAGATCTATTTCTATAGTTGCACACTAGGGTCATGATCTCCTTCTGGGTTCTAGCCCCAGTGGCACATGGGGGTGGGGATATAGGGCTGCAGGGAGGAAGGTCACACAAGCTCCCCCTACTATCTGCAGGTGCAGTAGGACTGAACCTTTTGCAGGTACTGGCTCCAGGTTGCCAAAGATCTCAATGCAATCCTCCTGGCCAGGGAAGCACAGACAAAGGACCTTGTCTGGCTTGTTTCTGTCACATCTCCCAAACCTAAGGCTGCATGCCCCGCCCCCTTCCAGGTCCTAGATCCCTACCATAGGCATGTGGTAGTCAAGAATGCAGGCAGGCATGAGCGCTGGGCTGCGAAGCTGCCCGCAGCCTCTGCAGCACCGGTTCGATCCCCGGCCACTGGCAAGGATCCCACATGGCACGACAGACTTCTCCTGCTGCGCCCGCTGCTCCCCTCAGCAGTGTATTTCATCATTCTGCCTGTCTGTTCCCTGCTCTGGCTCTGGTGAATTCTTTCACTCTCCCATGCTTCTGACTGTACCCAGTGCTTGTATGAATAAATAAATCTTTAAAAAAAAAAAAAGAATGCAGGCAGGCATTGGACTCAGATGGCTGGAATTTGAGCCCAGCCTTGTCACCTTGTGACCCTTAGCAAGTCCTTTGGCCTTTAAGCTTTCTTTATCAGGTGTAGATAGAAGCGCGTGTTTTACAGGTACCAGGTGCTCAGTGGTTGCTGTGCACCACGTTTGAGAGGAGGTGGCAGGCAGAATGATCAAGGCAGCATTGTCTATTCATCTTTCTGAGCCTCCGTTTATTCATCTGGAGAATGAGGCGGCCAAGCTGGAGGGTTGCTGTGAGATGAAACAGTCTACATAATGCTGCTGTGGATAGTGGGAATTGGCCACACCCTATCCTGCCCACAGGGAGGACTCACTTAGGAAAGACTCACTTATAAGTGTGGGGAGCTGGTATCCCTGGCCCTGGTATCCCTGGCCCTGGGGCCAGGCCCAGCGTAGTCCTGCAGACTCTGATGGCAGCCATCTTGACTAATGGGCCTCTGGCTGACTCACTTTTCCAGGTGGACCCTTTCTCCTCCTGTTGCAGGTGCTGTCACATCCCCTCTACAGGCCCTACAGGTTTCTTTCCCTATCCTCCTCATAGGGTAGGTACCTCCTCCCCAAGGCCTGCAGTGCTCACTGTGTGTGTGTGTGTGTGTGAACTATATCTTCAGGCAAGGCCTCACATGAGGCTCAAAACAGCCCAGTTTGTGGAGGGCCAGGAAACCGAAGCCCGCTGAGCCTCAGCCTCAGGCTCTGTCACCATCCGTCCCATCCCTATCTCTCCCACATCACCTACAAGGGCTCCCGTGGTAATGGGGGGCCCTCAACAGAACAAGGTTGGCATGACCCGCCCTCTGACAAAAAGCACTAAAGGGGATATTTTGGGCATCATGACATCTGGCGAGCCCTCCTGTACTCCCTGTCCTGAGCTTCACTCAGAAGTGGTAGGTGCTTGGGGAGCGGGCCAGACCCAGATGTATACATGCATCAGGCTGTGTTTTGGAGTGCTGGGGCCGAACCTTCGGAGTGGAAGCAGGGACCCCTCAGGGGAAGAAATAAGAAGCTGCCACCAGCTACAGTCCATCCCTATGTGGTAACCTTCCTGCCGATGCTCTTCGTCCTCTTGGCACTGGCAGCCATCTTCAGCCCTGTGAGCCTGTCACCTGGGTCCTGGGTCCCGTCACTGAGCCTTTGGGGCAGGGCTACCATTGAGTGCCCCCCTACCCCTCAGACCCTAGCCCCTGCACTGGGCTGCCAAATCTCTCATGTCCCTGTGGGACCAAGAACTATAGGAGCTTTGCCTACCTGGGTGTTCTCTAGGATACCACCGAGCTGCCTTCCCCTCCTCCATCACTCCCCCAGGCTGTTAAGGGGCCTTTGGGGTCTGCCTCAATCCCAGACCTCCACAGCCAGGGCAGCCTTTTCAGAGCCTGGCAGGTCCCTGCAGCCCCACACCTTCCCTGGCAGAGGCCACACACTTCAATTTGCATTGTCGCAGCCAGGCCTCACTTTGGCCACCAGCACCCAAGCCCTGTGGTCTGAGGCTCACCACCCCCAAACGACCCCCACCCCACCCTTGACCTCACGGGTTGTCTGGCCCACCTCCTCCTCCTGTCAGCTCTGCTCTGCCATCACCTCACTGTGGGTGACTGTAAATGACAGCACCCCCCCACCTGTGGCTTTGCGTTCCATGGGTGCAGCGGCCCGCCATCAACCGCGGCCTCAAACTATTAATGCAGAGGCCGTTTTGAGAGAAAGAGCTGGCCTTCCCGGAATCATTGTTTTATTTGATTAGTTTTTGCAGTGAATCTCTTGCTGTGCCTAAACTCTAAATTAAACTCTGTTATAGGGTACGGGGGGCAGGAGCAGGAACAGTGGACACAGGGCTCAGCACTAGCCAGTTTCAGGCGTCTGCTGCAGGACTGCAACGCAACCCTGGGGACAAGGGGCCGCAACAGCAATTTTTTATGCCAATGTCTAATTGCTCCTTGTCACCTAACTCTTGCATACCTCCAGAGAATGTTTCTTCCTGAGGAGGACAATGCCTCCAGCTGCACTGGGTCCAGCCTGGAGTAAGGGCATTTCTTTCCCAGCCCTCCTGAGGGAGCCTGGTGCCAGTCTGCTTGGCACAGCTCTCGAGGAGGGGTGATGCCAGGCTCCCATCTTGTCACTTTCTGCTCCACAGTCCTGGGGTGCTTGGCAATCCTCAGGGCCTGACATAGCACCCCCACCTCCACAAGTGGACCCTCACCCCTTCCTCCCTCTCTGTGCCCTGTCAGTGCTCCGCCTATGCATCCTGGCTCTCATCACCCCTCCAAGCCCGGGCCCTGTCGCTGCTGGGTGAGATGGCAGCAGAGGGAAGTGGAGGCAGGGGCCCCTCACCTGGGCCTACATCCTTGTTCTGCCAAGGATTGTGTGCACTGGGGTGGTTCTTGGCCTCAGTTTCCTCATCTGTGCGAGAGAGGTGGCAGCTGCTGCGAGTGGCACGGGGCCTGACCCTGAGTGGGCTTGGGCATGGGGTGGGCGCCTGCCAATAAAGCTCAGGTGGTCTCCCCAGTGTGGGAGACAGGGGTTGCTTTCCTCTGCCCGCCTCTCTCTGTGTCTCGGGAGTCTAGTCCTGGGGTGTCCTTGGAGGGGAGAAGTCCCTTTGCTGAGTGACCTTGGGCTGGTGCCTTGCCCGCTCTGGCTCTGGGGTCTGGACTCACTTCTGGGAGTCGAGGCCTGTCTGTGGAAGCCTGGGCCCAAGGGAGGGGAGGAAGAGAGATTTGGAATTTGAATTTCGGTGGAGGAGTCACCTGGGATAGAGCAAAGGGGCAAAGCCAGGAGGCAGGAATAACTGGAGCACCCCAGAGTGCGTCGCCGCACCGGACCACAGCCAGCTGCCCTAGGGCCACGGGGGAAACTGCGTTGGGGTCTGGCGAACCCAGCTTCTTCCCGTGCCTGAAAGTCTCTGTCACTGCCCTGCCATCCTTTCTGGGGGTCTTGGGGACACAGATGGACTGGACTGGGGTACGTAAGAGCTGTTTGGAGGATTCTGCTTGACCCCTTCCGTGGCAAAAGGAGAAACTCCGCTCCCGACCTTGCTGGCTGGCAGCAGGCCCCCCAGAGAGCCACGCCAGGGGCGGAGGGAGGATGGCTCCCCAGTCCGGGCAGAGGCGGCCCTCGTGCCTCACTGCGGGCGGCCGCTCCCGCGGCGGGGCTCTGGGTCCCCCAGGCCGAGCGGTCTGCAGCAGGCCCGTCGCTTCAGCGCCTGGTGGGAGAATGGGGGCGTCGGGGTCAGGCCCATCACCCCGCTGCAAACCCCTTCCGCCGGAGGCTCCAGCGGGGCGCGAGTGATCAGGGGGCCAGCGACCCCTCAGGCCGCCGCGGTGTCCCAGCCTGACACGCACCAGCACGAGGAGGAACACGCCCAGCAGGAGGCCCAAGACGAGGAGCGCCACAGCGGAGCCAGGCAGCGGAGGGCCGGGGTGATTCAGGACTTCAGGGCGGGGGGTGCCTGGAAGCGAGCAGATGAGTGCTGAGTGGGGGCCCTTCCTCGCCCCCCAGAGCACAGAGCACACATCTGAGGAGGTAAAGCCAGGTCTGCAGAGAATGTCCGGGCTCGGGGTCCTGGCCCAGAAGGTGCCACCTGAGCTGAGAGCTGGAGCTGCTCTGAGGGCACTCGAGAGGAGGCGGGCGGCCAGGCCCCGAGGGCAGCCAGCAGGGGGTGAGGACTGGGCTCAGGGGAAGGGAGGGCTTGCAGGGCTGACCAGCCCGGGAGGCAGCGACTGGTTGGGGGGCACAAGGCCCCCCAACACAAGGGGCACTGAGGCCTGCAAGGGAAGCAGGGAGAGGGGCACTGACCCCAGTCTGGGACGACCGTCTCCACCACCTCCACCGAGAAGCCCTCCGCCTCCCGCAGAGCGCGCAGCCCCTGGCGCAGGCAGTCCTGCAGGAGGGCCCGGGCCGGTGCGGCCCCGAGGAAGGTGGCGCCCACCTTGGCTGTGAGCGGGTCCAGCCTGGCAGGAGAATCATTAGTGGTGTCAGGGGGCTGCACAACCTGGGGAGACTCGGGGAGGTTTTCTCTCCCCGCCTCCTGCGCCAGGCTGCCACCCCGAGTCCCCCAGAGCCCTCGGGACTTACTGGAACCCCTCCACCACCACTTGGCCGAAGGTCTGCAGAGGGCTGAGGGCCGCGGTCAGCTGGGGTCGGGAGAGGACAGAGGGTCACAGCTCTATTGAAAAACCCTCTGGGTTTCTTGCATGAGCCTCCTGCCCCTCCCCACTTCTCCCTGCCACTTCACCCATCTTGTCAGTGTCCCCCGAAGTTCCTGGGACTCAGGGCTGATCTTGTTCTCCAAGGCCTTGGTGAAGGGTCTGTCCAGGATCTGCAGCCGCACCTCACACAATACCAACTCCGCCTTCTCCCCTAGGGCAATGGAGAGGGGTGGGGGGTGGGGGGGTGAGGGAGGGGAGTGGGGGGTTGGGGGAGGGGGCGGGGCGGCAAGCCTGCTGCTTGTCTGTGTCCCATTTGTGAGCTAAGAATGGTTTTTACTCCTCAATGGCTGAAACACATCAGAAGCAGGGGAGTCACGTGTGACACTTGAAAGTGTCAAGCACACTACGTCTGTGCCCGTTGGGTTGCCTGGCCCCAGCCTTGCTGCCCTCTGTGGTGCCTTTCTCGCTACCAGGGAAGAGCTGAGTTGTGTGACCAAGGCCCTAGAGCGTGAAGGAGCCTAAAATATTCCCTACATGGCTGTCTAGCCAAGAAAGGTGTGCCCTGCCCTAACCTCTCTCGTGGAAGAATCATACCCAGCCCAGAGCTGAGCAAGTGAAGGGGGAGGGCCTGCTGGTAACGTGACATATGTTCTTTGGGTTCCATTTTTCCCCACTCCCTGCTCTGTGGGAGAAGTGCTGGGTGTCCCAGCCTTGGTCACAGGCAGTGGACATGAGCAGGGCAGGCCCCCTGTGTCTGTGGACTGACTGTGACTGGCCCAGGGTTTGCAGGTGAGAGGGGGTGTGTCCTCCTGCTGGGGACGGACTCTCTGGAGAGGGTCCCAGTGCAGGATGGTGTCTAAATTTTTTTTTAAGATTTATTTATTTGTTTATACAAGAACTGGGGCACAGGCCAGAGGCGCAGGAGAGTGAGAGGACCCACCAGAGACAGAGCGGGGAACAGAACAGGCATACTGACGAAATACACTGCTGAGGGGAGCAGCGGGCGCGGCAGGAGAGGTCTGCCACGCCATGTGGGATTCTCGCTGGCCTGCCAGGATTGAACCGGCACTGCAGAGGCTATGGAGAGCTTCACAGTGCAGCGCTCAACCACCTGCGCCACAAGGGGAGGGCCTGGTGTCTAATTTTGCCCACCACGCCCAGCAGCTGTGTGTAGAGGTGGGCCAGCCCCTTCACAGCTCTGGGCTGTGCAGCGAAGCCACGGGGACTGAGCTGACCCAAAACCCCGTCACCTGGCTGTTGGACAGATGCCCCTTCTGGGTGACACCAGCCACATCAATCTCTCTAGAGGGTGCTGGGGCACAAGAAGACATTGGGCTGCAGACCTGAATGGGGGAGGCGGAGCACTTCTGCCCCCAAACTTGGTGGAAAACCAAGTATCTGTTGATCCTGTCACTTATGTGACATATACCTGAGATGCTGGGTGCTTAGAGGGTGGCTGCACCATCTAGCCTGTCCGATCCCAGCTTCTTATCTCCATCCAGTTCTCCCTCCGAGGCTCTGTACCCCATCCCCCTCTGTGGCCCCAGCACCAGCACCTGAGCAAATTCAACCCTGGAACTGTGCAGGCCCCCTTCACATGCAGATTTTTTTTTTCAATCCATGGATTCAACCATCCTTGAATGCTGGTTGTCTATTGGTGGAAGCCACAGAGGCGGAACCCATGGATATGAAGGACTGAGGCCGACAATAAGGGATTCGAGTATCCAGATTTCGGTAACCCAATCCTTCTGGATACCAAGGGATGGTGTAGTGAAGTTTTGGGGGTGTCAAAGTTACACATGGGTTTTTGACTGTGTGTGGGGGGTTATCACTCCTAACCCATGTTGTTCAAGGATCAATTGTATCTGTTGTTGAAATTGTCCATTCTCCAGAAGAGGAACATTGAGGTCTGGAGAGATAAAGAGGCTGCAGGCCAAGGATACACGGTCCTCCAGCCCTGACTCACCATTTGCTTTGATGCTGGATTTCTGGAAGGCAGGATCCATTATGTTTTGAGCCAGGTGGCTGGCCAGGCCTTGGAGATGGGTGTGGATGGGGGTCTGAAACTTGTACTCAATGTAAACGCCCACCCACTGGTCCACATCACTAGAACAAGTATGAGGGAGAGCATAGGGTCACAGGTGTCTGTCGGCATGTGTTTCTAGAAGCAGGCATCCAGCCCCCACTTGCACACCTGCAGATGTAGGGGTTCCATCCCTCCTAGGGCAGAGCTTCACTCAGCTGGCAGGTGCTACCTAGGACAAAGTCCTCCTCTGGGTGACCCCGAACCTATGCCTCCTGTCCTGGAGCGGGGTCTCCTCTGCCCTGTCTTGCATTCTGGGAAGCCCTCAGGAGAGGAGCAGGCAGGTTGGGTAGTGGGAGGGGGTCGTGACCCACCTGAAGAGCATCAAGGGCCTTCCCTGGGGCTGCACCTTGTAGAATCCTGACACCACAGGCGTGACCTGTGGGGATGCTACAGGTCAGGGTGGGCATGGGAGCCATCTCTCCTGAGACCCAGGGTCACCAAACTAGGGTGAGATGCATGAAGCATGACACCGATAGCATGTGTCTCTTTTACACGGTACCCTGGGGTGTCCCCCACTCTCCTCACTGCTGGCTGGGGGCAGGGATGTCCAGTTACAGGGCCTGGCCCTCTGCCCCCTTGGACCGAGCTGTCGCCTCCCTCAGACAACCTCCATTCTTCACATGGGGGCCAGGGGGCAGGCCTGAGTGCCCTCCATAGCCACCTTACCCCACAGTGCTATGACTGGGGGCACCCACAATGAGTGCCAGCCAGTGCCTCACCCCCATGCCATGGAAGCCTGCAGCCAAGGGAGGCGAGCTGAGTGTCCCAGGTTCCGAAGGGGGAAAGAGGTTACCTCACCTGTCGGAGGATCTGCTTTCCCAGTAGCACAGAGTGAGCAGAGTCAGGCATGAGGAGTTGGGGCAGGAAGGGCCTCATAACTGTGAAGTGGATGCTGATGAGCTCCTGGGCCAGGTCGGTCAGGTAGGACCCTGTGGGACCCAGATAGAGCAGGAGACTTGGGAGTGTTCTCACCCACCAGCATGGAAGTTGGAACCTTCTACGGCCCACCTGGCATGCCACCTGAGGGAGGGAAGAGGCACTGGGGCAGGGGTTGGCCAGGGCTGAGACCCACCATCAGAGGCAAGGCTGTTCTCATCCAGAGACAGGTTCCCCATCATCTGTCCTGAGGCCTTCACCTGGCGGTACAGAGTCCAGAGGACTTCACTGGCAGAGGGGGCTGGGGCGCAGCCTCCGAACACAAGGGAGGCATTCACAGCCACGGAGCCAGGCCTGTAAACAGAACCACATTCTCACCAGGGGTCCCACGGGGGCACCCCGGAGGCTGCATGAGGACCGGGTAGGTGCATTCAGCTGTGTCCGCTGGGAAGACAGAGGCTGCACAAGGAAGAGCCTCCCTGGGAGGGTCAGAGCTGATCACCTTACCCCTCCAGGCCTCAGCTGCCTCCTTGGTAAAGTGGGGACCGAAAGCTCTTTCCTAGAGGGTCGTATGTGGACCAACGAAGCCGTCGGCAAAGCACAAAGCTCAGGAAAAGTGAGTTCCCTTGGCTCTAATGGAAACGCTGTGAATCCCACCAGGGAGAGGCTGGGTAAGGTTACCCGCCAGGCTATCAGGAAGCCATCTGGACCAGGCTGAGAAACACAACCTTGGCTGCATTACAAGGAGCAGGGGCTCTGGAGAGGGAAAGGTGACAGACCTGAGGAATCTCTGAAAACCTGTGGGAGATGGACCAATGGCCGTATCTTAAGGAGGCACCTGACCTCGGCGCAGGACCACAGGAGTTCATGGGAAGAGACCTGGAAACAAGCAGGCTCAGGATCCAAAATTGCTTTCCTTCAGCCTTCTTTGGAGTACCTGTTTTGTGCTGCACCATCCCTGGGTTGGGGAAACAAAACTTCTGTTCAGATCCAGGAGAGGGAAGTCAAAAGGGAGATTTTAGTTCATTCAAGTGGGAACTTTCTAGCCAATTGGGAGTATGGCTGGAGAGAGGGTGAGAATGAATTCCCCATCCCTGGGGTGAATCAAGGCTCTACATTCCTGCACTGGCAGGAATTTGCCAACAAGAGTCAAGGTTCAGGGCCTCCCTGGCAGCGCAGCGGTTGAGTGCTGAGCTGTGAAGCTGCCCGCAGCCTCTGCAGCACCAGTTTGATTCCCGGCCTCGGCGAGGATCCCACATGGCGCGCAGACCTCCCCTGCCGCCCGCTGCTCCCCTCAGCAGTGTCCTTCGGTCCTTCTGCCTGCTCTGCTCCCCGCTCTGGCTCAGGTGAATTCTCTCACCCTCCCGCGCTTCTGACTGGACCCAGTGCTTGTATAAATAAATAAATAAATCTCTTAAAAAAAAAAAAAAGAGTCAAGGATCACCCTTATAACCCAAGTGGAGCTGTGCTAATTTGGACCTTCGGGTCCCAACCCAGGAATTTGCATCTGTTCACATGTTGCTTACAGGAAGGACCCTGGCCCAGAAATGCCCTGACGCTTTTGCTCTCCCTGCCTTTCCACCACAGCCAGATGCTGCCTGGCACCTCTGCCCAAACCCTGTAGCTGGACTTGGGGCTCAGAGCAGGCAGGATGTCACCTAAGGTCACGCAACACAGCCAGGGACAGAACCAAATGTGAGCCTCCTGCCTGCCCATCCAGAGCTCTTCCTATCTCCTCCCCAATCGCCCCCCACCCCGGGTGTCCTGGACATGGCGGTGGCTGGACAGGGCTGAGCAGCCGGAGAGTGGTCTCGTGGCTAAGAAGGCACAGGCCTCTGGCAGGCGGGTGCCGGGCCCTGAGAGCTGAGCTCACTCACCTAAAGAGCAGGATGCTGATGCCCTGGAAGCTGGAGAAGGCCTCGTGGTACATGCGCTGGAGCTGAGAACAGGCAGGGCATTGAGGGCTGTGATGGGCACCCCCTCTTCTCCATAGCACCAGCTCCTGCCACCCTGGCCAGCGCCCCTCTCTGCCTCCCCCTGCCTGCCTGTGTCCACCCTCATTAACAACAGCCCGGCCCCCACGATGACCTCCTAAGTGACCGCCTACATGGTCCTGGCAGCCCAAGTCGTCCTGCCCCCTCGGCAGCCAGACATAACCCGCCATCACCCCACTGAAGACAGCACCCCCACTCCAACTGTCCCACACACAAACCGCTTTCCCAGGCCTGGCCTTCTCTGTTTCCTTGAAAATCACTCTCCAGTCCAGTCACGCCGCATCCCCACAG